ATGAGGAAATCTGACAGAATGTCTCTGGAAATTATACAAAAGTCGTGTACCAAACATCTGCTAGGCAAAACATCTACTAAGAACTATCGGGAGCGCTGCTAACAATTCCAGTTCGATCCGCTTTGACGACGAAGATTGAGACATAATCTGATGCTTCTGTGCAATATGATTCATCAAAACGCCTACTGCTATTTGCCCTTCCTAGAACTACAACACAATTCGACAAGGGAGCTACGCAATAAGGAGTTTACCCTGAGTATACCCAGATGCAGGGTAAATCTGCGGTCTAACTTTTTCCTAATCAGATTTGCTGTCCTGCGGAATAAGCTCCCAGTCACAATCAGATCGTGTGAGAGCTCAACGGCCTTTCGCGTTAAGCTCACCAATTGCCCAGACGAACAAGATTATGCCCCTGTTCTTTTGGGAAAAATCACTTGATGATTTGTACTAAGAAGGGCCAGACAACATCTGATGAGTGAAGCAAAAGAAAATTTTTCACACCCCTGGTGTTGTTACCATCCATTATTCCAACTAGTGCGCATTGCGTTGAAACACACCTTGAAACAGCAAAAGCAATGAAAATCACACAACTGTTTACCATTCATGCGTGATCATGACATATTCTGTAACATACGATCTGTGCCAAATATGGCCACAGTTTCTCATTCGATGAGAAATATACCTATTATTATTATATTGCTAGATGCAGCGGCTTGTCTAGAGATTCTTTAGTTGATTTGCTCATTTCTATACATCTTGCTGCCTGCAATGATTTTTCTTTTATGATACTAACTGATCAAGTTCATCCATTTCACAATGATCTTTCCAAAACGCTCTCTTTCTCTTCTACTCTTTCGAAATTCAGAATTTTATTCTCCCGCACGTCATCGTATCATAATACTGTTTTGCCCTGTCTCTCACTTTTGCTTGTTGCTACAGCAAAAGTCACTAACGTGCTACGCGAGCGCTTGTTGGAGTAACAGTTCTGCTTTTTTCCCACTTTTCTACCCAAGCATGTATATTGATATTATCATCCACGTGTCCGCAGTGGTGGTGTAAATGCTGAAAATGAACCCATTCGGGTTCATAAAGCTTATTTTGACTTGACTTGTCTCAGGGTGACGATATCGGGCACCCACGTGCCTGAATTATTGCCCGGGGGACAGGAATGCGGGGACAGGTATCCAGTAGAACACCTGTAGTCCAATCGCCTCGACGATAGGGTCCACAAGTCAACTACGTTACAGACGCACACGCAACAAGGGACACACACTTTTGTTTTTGATAGTGGTGCTTCAATTTCAATGCTGACGTTTGATGACTACATAGGAATAGAAATATAATAAACATTCCTGTAACAAATTAAGCTTATTTCCAGTGTCCCCTCCGAGGCTACTTGTTCTCATGCTTGCTATAAGTCCTGGAGATCTTGGTCATGGTAATGCATCGATTTAACTCAGTGGCATCTTTGTGTGAAGGATAATGTGTATAGTCATCTGATTGATAGAAATTTGAGACAAACTTCGATAAACATTCTGCTGCAGTTCCGTGTTCGTTATCGGAGACTAGGCATCAGCTTCACCGTAGAAGCATCCAAAATGCAGGTGTCTACATGAGATCTGCTTGTCAGTAACCAGTCAGTCCATACATTAATAACTGTTGCCTATGTGTTCGTTGATACAGCGCCGACCACGTTGCGTCTTTCTCTCTCTTGGTGAGCGAATCGTATGTGACGAGACAGTGCGAGACAGATATTACATCTTATTCTCAGTGAGTAGTCACTGTCGCGAACAGCCATTTTCTTCACACTTTGAACTGTGGTATTCTTGGCGTCATTATCCCGCGCGCATCGCGCGCCGTTCACCTTCAAGATTCTCGCTGTTGTTTTGGGTGTCACGCGTTGCTGCCGCGGCCTAATGCACCTGTTGTATGCGAACGGAATAGATAAAGGAAGATTTCGAAATGATTTAGTTCTCCCCGAATTTTATTGTCGAAGGCAACAATGAATCAGATCACAGCAGTCCATGACCAACAAAAGCACATGGTCAACCTTGGTATGTACAGTATTGGCCAAATTATTAGAAATTTTTTCAATCAGCAACTTTTTTCATCTTCCATCGCCTATCTCGTACGAATCAAATGTTGTAACTGTAAAATAGTTATATTTACCAAGAATAACATGTATCGAATAGAAAATCATTAAGGTTTGTATTTCGTAAATGATACTTTGGTAATCCTCAAGGAGTCAATACGCAAAGGCATAGTATGTGGGATTTTTTCTACATGATGACAAATTGGTTGATGTGACGCGCACAGTAGTTATGTAAACAGACGGTTACATTTTTATCATGCTTCGTTATTTACATCTGTAGTCTATATTTCAGGATTACATTTGTCTGGTTTTGGACCAATTTATAGGTATGTTTAATTACTTTTAATATTATTTTTCAAGGTGTCTTTTCAAATAACGACACAACCGTATTGATCGCCAGTTTTTAGTTGGTGTTGCCATATTAATGGGTAAATTACGTGACCTAACCCCTCGAAAGCCTGCACAAGTTGAAATTTTGTTGAAGGGAGATGTTAAAGGATCATAAATTGCAACCAAGATTGGTGTCATCCCAGCGTCTATATGTCGACTTCGAAACAAATTGCAGAAGAATTTACCCCTGTCCCATGAACGTTCCGGTAAATGTGGTCGCAGAAGAGAAACAACAGCTCGAGACTACTCACTATGGGAATGCCTAAAGAATCATAGCACACAAACCAACTGCTACAGTGGGAAAAGGTCTGTCGAAACCGAAAGAGAAACTGGAAGCTCAAGAGCAAAGCAATGTTGTATATAGACTACTTTGTAGAAATTGCGAAAAGGACTATGTTGGCCAAACAGGCAGAAAATTAACAACACGATTACAAGAGCATAAAAGAGCATGCGAAAGACACTATGCATCTTCACTAGTCTCAGCACACGTGCATGAAAAAGAACACAGCTTTGATTGGGCCAAAACAGAAGTCCTGGCACGAGGTGAAACAAGAAGAGCAAGGGAATTCCTGGAAGCGTGGTTCTCAACACAAGACTCGATTAACATGCATATCGAGATTGACCCAGTTTACCAACCCCTCCGACGGAGAGAACTTAGAGAAATTATGAGACGCCGCTTGAATAGGAACAACCCAAGCGACGACCTCCGCCACGGGGAAATGGGTAGAGATCAAGGGACACAGATCGAAGCCGTCACTTTCGAAATGTCACCTGCATGCCGATCACGGGTCGACAATTCAATCAGCGAGATTACACCCCACATCTCGACGCACTGATGATGCCGTCTCGCATGACGGTGAAACGTTTGCAAACCAATTTCGCAGCTCGGCGAACAAATGAGCAACTAAATTATCAACCCGAGCTACCAGTTTTCCAAAACATTTTAAAGAATCGCAAAGCATTTAGCAGACAGCTACAAGGGATGTTGGAACAGCATGGTTTTGCAGTTAGTTCGAGAACTGTAAGAAGACTACTTTTGGATTTTGAACTCCGAGCTTACAGGCCTCTGAAGAAGCAAAAGTTGGCCAAACAAAAGAAAGAAAAACGACAGAAATTGGCCACACAGCTTCAAAAATGGTCCAAAGAAGACTGGGAGCGGATAAGAAGCGGCAGTTTTATTTTCAAAAGGATTTTCCATAAAAATTGTGTCTACATTACTTTTGCTGTATTTCTGCGTTTTTCTGTGTTTCATCTTAGGTGGTTTCCAGCGATGAGTGCATCATTCGGTGCTCTGACCAGCAATCTCTAGATGTCCGCCGATTACCTGACGTACAGATGAGGGAAGACTGCATCACTCAAGGAGTCAACCATCCCACTCAGGTCATGATGTGGAGCTCTATGAGCATCTACGGAACTGGTCGGTTCTCCATCGGCCAGGGTAACACGAACCAGCAGTACAAAAAACTACTGGAGCACCAACTGATCCTTCAGCTGTGTGAATGGTCAAAGGAAAAGAATTTACAGGGACAGGAGGCTTCGTTTGCATGATTGACAGTGCTCCATGTCACGAGGGGCGTGAAGTCACCAGTTTTCTTGAGGGTTGTGGTATTGAAGTGTTACCATGGCCTGGTAATAGCCTTGACATGAACCCAATAGAGAGATGAAAAAATTATTAAAAACAAGCAACTGCTCATCGAACAAATTGTAGCGACCTGAGCTCGCTATGAAAGCCTGACTGAACTTTGCAAAAAAAACTCATTCACTCCATGCCTTTGCGTGTTAACTCCTTGAAACTTGCCAAATGATCATTCACGGAATACAAACCTTAATGATTTTCTATTCGATATATGTTATTCTTAGCAAATATAACCATTTTACTGTTACATCATTTGATTCTTACGAGATATGTGATGAACTATGAAAAAACTTGTTAATTGAAAAAATTCTAATAATTTGGTCAATACTGTACTCATTTGGAATAATGGTCACTCCTTGCCAACAGACAGAACTGGATAAATGAGTGCAGTAATGTGGATGTTTCAGGCATTCTACCTATTCCGGTTACACACACCGGGTACCCTACAGTCGTACTGGCTCACTGCTGGACCAATAACTAATTGGGTGTATGGTCCTGATACTAGTTAGTTAGGTGCCAGGCAAATCACCCATTTTATCTTCCACCCTCTCAACCGTACATCCATCCACTGTAGGGATGCAAAATGTCCTCGACTCCCAACACTGCTTGCACACTTATGGTCCAGCTACACCGTGCTAGTCTACGCTTCTTTATCTGTGCCCCGAACGGCTTGTGACACTTGCTTTAACTCGCAGCACTCATCTCTTCTCAGTCGATTGGAGTTCACGCACAGCGCCCTCTCCATTCGCAAGCTGCTCGACACCTTAGCTGGGTTACATCGTTGCCGTTTGCGTGTTCGTTTTTACTTAACATTTTCAGCTCACCGCTTCATCTGCGTCATTCGCAAAAATATTCACTTTCCATCATTATTTTTCTTTTTAGGTGTGAAGCTTGGGCTTATTCGCTTCCCCATGCTTCCAATGCTGACGCCCAGCATCGTTCTCCAACTCCTCTTAGCCTTATATCTCTTGACCAAACAGGGCGTGGCATCCAGTTCTGGTCATCCAATACACTGGAATTTTGTTGGGCACACTACTATTGCCGTTACACCGAAGATCATGTGTGCCTATAGCTCTTTTCCTCCTCCTGGACTCAGTGTTGAATGGATCGTGGATACAACGAATTCGGAGAAATATCGTCTAGAGGTGAGCTACAACTGGTACCGTATCCACCGTGCCATGTTCGGAAGCATTTTTGCTTTTGGTTATGTTCGTCCCTATTCCTGTCTTCTCATCTTCCCCTGCTCAAAGGCCGTTCCGTCTGTGGACGCAGAAATAGTGAGAAAAAGGAGTCAAATGGTCCGTTTCGGTGTAGATCGCATCGGACTGAACCTCGTCTTACAGCTGACCGCTATTCAGTCGACAAGTCAGGGAGAGGCCCGACTGCCAATTCGCCTGAAGATCGACGAAAACGTGCTCCAGACCATGGATAGCAGACCTTTAGCTCTCCACCTCGTCCAGCATTTATCCAGCGCCGGTGACTCTATTATATCCCACACTTTGTGGTGGAATCCGCTGTCCAATTCTGCCAGCTATGTTGATGACTACGTAGTACTGGTTTACAACAGGTACGCCGTTTCGCAAAGTCGCTTCTGTACTTTTCTTCTTGTACTAAACAAGAGTAAATGGGGTTTAAAGAGTCTGCAGTTGCTTCATCAGAGTTGGAACCATGTGTACGGCCACAACACCGCTAGAGGAGTAAAAACAAGTCGTTTCTTTTAACTATGACTTATCGGTGTCAAGTTCCCCTCGAATCACGCGCGTTTATCCGGCTGTTCACCTCAAGCCAGCTTGTCAGCTATGATCCATGTACCGACGGGCTATGGGTTCAGCCGCCTTGACACATGTCATTCAGAATATACTGAGGAGAATGAACAAGAATTAAACTCATAGCTGAATTTAGGGAGCACGCTGTGTGGTTGGGTTGCGACTCGCAACCTCTATTGAGACCTCAGCTCACTGAGGTAAACTTCGGTCATTCCGATCTCGAGGACCGTGTTGGTCTTCCCTGGCACACCATGGTTGGGAAGACCAACACCCAAATATATCTATTCAAGAATTAAACTCCTTATGTGGAACTATTCAGAGTGTAGGTTTGTGGAACGAATTCAATACCCCCCTTAACTTCATCAACACATCATTTCCAACAGGCTAACTAGCTACGGATGTTGCCATTGTCGAAGACCGCATTCGAGAAGACGAGAGATACCATCTCTGCTCGACCTCTCGGCAAGTTTCTCCATACTATATTATGGCGTCATTGACTAGCCAATTACTGTTTTCAAGTAATTAACTGCAGGGTTGGCAAACGATAAAAAGCGAGCCGACCGGGTTGCAGGCTTGCGGAGCAGATCAACTTATTTGGGACGATTCTAGTCCAACAACCAATACAGTGAGGCACCGGTGGGCCTCTTGCCAAACGATTGAAGATAAGCATCGATAACACACGTCTGCTATCTCTATCTAATGAGATCAAATAAGCTCGAAAATGATAGTATGCTTTGTGCCATGTTAAATTATAGTTGGATGGGATGCTAAGAGGTAGAGGAGGGATAAAGAAACACAACACAGACACCACTGAAGTCATTTTCTGACCATGTCAAAAACTGTATCCAAACAAACGTGTTCATCGTCTTTCGGACCCCAGCCCAGCAGTCGCGAGACAGCAACCGAGGCCAAGGTCGAGGTGAGAGTTTCATTCCTTTTGACCAAGTCATCGCTTTCCTTCCCCTCTTCTTCATTAATCCAGACCCTATTACACAAGCAACACACGTCGCGGGAGTTGGTGTGCTGGCATGTGTAATGCAGGACCCTACCATCGGAGTCTGTTTCTTAATATAACCGTTCTGGGCGGTTCACTCGCGCTTCCTGCACCAGGTACGCGACACGGGGCACACTCATTGCCCAAGTGATGTTAATACCAGGCATGAGCTAAACAGCAAATTCAGCGATGGTCAAGCCCAACTGGCCTCTTTATATCCGTCGATCTGATGGATCAGGTTTCTCAGCCGTACAGGAGGGTTGAACGCACGATTGCGCTGTAAACGCTGCTCTTCAAAACGAAAGCGATGTCGCACAGGCCCAGCAGGTGGTGAGGATTAGCAAAAGCGCCTCATTTTTGCTTTGCGGTTGGTGATCTCATATTCGATCTCACGGGAGCTAATGTAGCTGCCGAGATACTTGAATTTCTAGACGACTGTAGCTGATCACCACTAAAGGTCAGTGCAGGAGTGAGTCCCTGTCATTCTTGGATAAAGAATTTTTATTTCCAAAGTAAAAAGCATAGCCCGAAGCGATTGACAGCCAGTGCTGAGTTGTCCAGTGCTGGTTGGCACGTTTGTGAGTTGTCATAGATTAGGTGAATGTCGTCGGCGTACTCCAAACCGAGAAGTCGATCATCTAGAATCAGCTCCACACCTTTTAAATCGTCTGGTGAACTCAATTTTCATGACTTCGTTGATGGCAGTTAAGAAGGAAAACTAAGAGCGGGAAACCTAGTCCCACACCGCTGGAGATGTTACATGCGACGGCAGTTTGCGATAAGCCCTTATTCTGCCCGATCTGTATGTGTAAAATGCTCTTCTAATATGCACGTATTTGTCGGGCACATCTTTCCTGGACGTCGATCCATAGAGTTCCAGGCACTTTTGATGTCGAGCAACTCGACTACGCTGGGTCGCTAATACATATGGTGGTGCTCCAATAACTGACGTAATCTAAATATCTAGTCAGTGCACCCGCGACTTAGAGGAAACCGGGCTTGCTATTCACTAGTCTGGCTTTCACGTGTTCCAGTCGGTCCACGGGAGACGACACAAGCAAGTAATTTAGTACTGATGGAGATCAAGCGGATCATCTCTAAGATTACTGCACTCCTAACGTGAACGTTCCTTGAAAATTGGAACTATAACGGATCGGCCCCATACAAGTGCTCGTTTTTACCAGTTTCCAATCATTGTTCGTTGTTTCTTTATGAATTCTGGTTACATTGTTGTATGGCGCCAGGATCCATTCAGGCGTTTTGTTGTCCAAGCCGGCTCAACACCATCTCCTCGACTGACTCCATTTAGGTATGCTGAATTCCAGCAACTTGTGCTTCACACCATTTACGATTCGAACCAAATAGTGAACTAATTATTTCAATATAACAACGTTTGCTTAGTGCGTTCCGGTAGAATCATCGTTTGTTTAACACGCTTGACTGAAAGACGCGCGACATCTGATGTATACCCCTCGACCACAAGCGATGAATCCCTGTCGGGCTATCAAGCTAATCATTTCTCCATTCCATTTAACAGTGTTTAGACCATAGTGTTAGTGGCGATGCGCTGGTCAATCCACAGTCTGAGCTTATGGTCCGTTTCCTTTTCTTAACTGCCGAAGGATAATATCCACTTGACAGTGCGCACACCGCTGACTTCATACTTCAGGCAACAAATCTGGACTAATTTCCACCATTGATAGTAGTACCGATTTGGTTGTTAACATATATTGTGGACCCGGCACAGATGGCGCTGTGCATCATGGAAGGTATTTCACCGGCCCCTGTATGCCTTGCTGGTAATCAAGGTAACCTATACAACTGTTACCTGCCAGACTCCCAGTCCTCGGATGCTGCTGCTGCTGCTGCTGCTTGGTAAGCGTCCGCACGCAAATATTCTTAGTGTCAATGCAGCTTCTGCTCCCGTTGACTTCCCTGGGCTTCAGGTGACCATGACAACGGAATCGGGAAGGACTATCGCGGTTCTTCGTTCTGTGTCCTGGTCAGACATGACCCGAATTCATGACGCGTCGTACGCGATCTAACATCCAATGCTGACAGGGATTGGCACGGCATGTACGTCAGCTGCCCACTTTCTACCCGACTCATATCTCTACCGCTAACCACCATGTTCTAATTTTGGTGCACTCACATGAATCCGCTTGTTTGTTATGCTTTCCAATTAAGTCATAGTGTGATCAAGTAAACTCAGCAATTTGCGTGAATAAAGTCAACTCATGTTCCTAGAATCGAAATCCTTACACAAGCACCACCGCGTAGGTCGGTGTAATACACCTCTTGTTTTGGTCATATATTCATTATGAGTGAATAAGGGATTTTCCCTCAAACATGCTACACTGCGTGCGAGTGGTAAACTAATTCTTCATTGCAAGGACACAAAGAGGTTGAACCCCAGAGCCACGTAGGTCACGCAACAGCGGTTCACGATTGATGGTCGAAAATGTTTCTGTGGTCCAGGAATCGAATGCGAATGGATTGGTTCATATTACCCTGTGATGAAAGCGCAGAAGGTGCGAAGCAGATTATCGCATCTAAGTTGGACCTTGAACTGTAATATGTGAACTGATGAGGATTACCCAAATGCGTCTAGGCTAACGCGCTCCCAAGAATATGCCTCTGAAAAGTTTTCAAGGCATCGATTTGCAAAAAATTGATCTGTATTTGCAGCTTCCTTACTCTGGCACCGGCGTTATGTCTGCGCTTCGCTAGTTTGTCCGCTGTCATGATTCGCTTTAAGAACAACATATGCAATTCACCACAAAGTTGTTAAAAGCAGTAATCCCAGTCTTAAGGGAGACCAGAGAGTTTATCTGGACCAGGTTTGTTGGGCTTCGGGTTGACTAATTCCCTGCGTAGAGGGGTTTTAACTCGGCCGAGAATATACGAAAGAATGATGTACTCTCCTGGTCACAGAAAGAGTGGACTAGTTTTTCCACATTCAGTGTAGAATGAATGCCTCGCCGAGCACTTTGTTTAACTGTTTTAACAATTTTCATGTTTTCCGGTAATTAGTGTTTCCCAACGTGCTTTGAACATGTAATTGGTTGAAGGGACTCAATTCGAATCTTATGTCGGTCCACGGACACCTCACTGCTGTTTGTACGCCTTTTCCTCTTAGCCTACGCAGTCATGTAAAGCAATGTGACCAGAATTCATCTCTACGGACGAAAATTGTTTAAACTGGAGAGCTTACGCTTAAGCAGAAGTTTAGGGGACTAGTTAAGTGACCACAATACTTAGACAAATCCGCGTCATAGATTGTCAAATCTATGGAGACAGTAACTTCTCGCAGCAGGTGAAGCATTTATGGTTCGCTACGCTATAGATACAGGTAATAACTTCAAGGAGGCATGATCAGAGCTCCCAAGCTGCGGCCGATTAAAAACTTGAGAAGTTCTCGAACTTCAGATTCTTGGAAGATACTTAGAACCGATGGTGTATTCATGAGTTAGGCGAGGTTTGGTAACAATCCGTTGGCATAGTTATTTGGTAACGTTTCGCTCTTGACACAAGAGCACCGTCAGACCAGATGAAGTTGGAGTGGCGGTTGGAGTGGCATTTTATAGCGAACAGGGATGAGAACCGCGTCACCCAAGACTTGAGCCAAGGTGTCATTACAGTCACAGCTCGTGATGTCACCTCGGGTGGTTCAATCACATTGGGAAAAGTCCAGGTGTTCCTTTGTGCCTCATGCCATCGACGAATAAGCCCAAAATGATGACAAGGGGAGTAGAGTTGCACTTTTCAATCTGACCCACGCACCGAGGCTCGCCAGGCTGGCCGACT